ATTTAAATAATCTTTAGTCCTTATATAAATTCACTGTTACTTATTACAAATGGAGACTTATTTTTCTAAGTTGCTGTAGAGTATGCTCATATGGAACTTTTTTGACGAGATGCTCGTAAAATTTCAATGCTAGTAATCTTACCGTTGGTGCAGAAAAGAGTAAAAATGCCATCCAAGTAGTATGGACTAATTTGAGTTGCAATTCCATAGTTTTCATGGAAAGAAAAAAATACCTGTAAAAAAATAAAGGAGTAATTAGTGCAAGGCATTAAAATGATTCTAGACAAGAAACAAAATATGCATTAATTAATTATTAATAATCTATCAGTTAAATGCAATCTTACTATGAAACCACTAAATGTATCCGAAATAAAACTGTGGTTTTGTGGTTAGGTTGTTTTTATTTGACTGACTGATTTTTTTTGCAAGGTAGGCTATATAAACCAAGTACATATATATCTGGTAGCAAGCAAAATGTGTCAACAGGTAGCTTTTCGGGTATTCCCATTATCTCACCATTTAAATATAAATTCAGTTTAGCTACCCGTTTAAAAGACAGAAGGATGGGACTCTACCTTTAAATACCGTAAATCGCACCAGTCTATCTCTCGAAGTGAATCATCTTAAGGTGCATACTCATTTTGAAAAACACCTGTCTTGTTTGTTCAAGATATTAAATAAATCAAAATAATAATTTAATGTAATAGCTTACATAAAATATGGAATTGAAAGCTCACTGTTTTTTTTCATATTTAGCCCATTTTCTTATTTCTCAATTATGTTACTGCAAGGAAAAAAGAATACGGATTGTATTTTTATTATGATGTTTACATTACCGCTAAAATGCATCACACTGCTCTGAATTATTGCGAAACAATTGCCAAAAAATAGACGAAAATGGGATCAATGTAAATTTACTCTGTCTCAGTCATTATAAATATTTTTTTTTAATTACGCTATATCGATATAGTAACTCTGTGCTTCAAAGGAATTGAATAATTGGTAAACTTTACCAATATGCACAAAAAAAACCGTTTTGTTTCACTTTTTAAATCTATTGAGTCATTATGACCTCTTACTTTTCAGAGATCATATTTAATATTAATATATTGTTTTTGAAGTATCAAAATCTGTTTAAGTTGAAACAAGATAGGTTATGCATTGTCTACCTGTTAAATTACGTACACAGGAAATATTTTAAATGTAACCTGATGAGCTCACACCCATTCAAGGTCTCAGCTTTACTTGCATATTAAAGTGCGTCAAAGCTATTTTACAGGAAATACACGTATGTCTGCTCATTATGTCTGCTTCAATACTCTATTTTTCAAATGGTTCAGATCTGCAAAAAAATAAACCAATGCAAATAAATAAGTCATCGCTAAATTTTGAAATTTAATAACTGTTTATATTACATATTTTAATAGTTTTCATCTTTTATAAGTCAATTTTTAACATTCTGCGTAATTTTTTTTTTCACAGATAATGACTCTTAATTATTTGTGTTAAAAGTAATATTATTCTAAAATAAATGCTTATTTTAAATCTGCTTAATTTCTACAGATTGGATAAAAGACAAGAATTAATTAATTCTAATTTCTTTTATTGTCCTTGCTTTAGAGAAAAAAGAATGCATTGGTTTTGGATATTGGTATAATTGTCTCCATTCTTCCTTAAAATTACTCATTTAATCTTGTCTGACATTCAAACTTGTCATGGAGTTGGAAAAAGACTGCACTTCACACATCAGAAATCTTGAACGTCAAGGACTAAAACAAGGAGAATTTTGTTTTCTGTCGCGTGCCAGAAATAATCATATCGTAGAAGATGTATACAGAGTCAAGTGTGGTTCAAAAGAGATATTTTTATTTATGATTTTAAGATAATTCTTCGCTTTTGATTTCCCGATATATGCCATGATTCTCTTTATTCATTAAAATGCATGTGTGTTTTAACATCCATTAATGTATACCCTCCTAAAATATATTGTACTGAAATTTTATTTCTCATGCCATGGAAAGGATGCACCCGACTTGTCGACCGCTGACACCCGCCTGTTGCACCATGTCATTAAATCCAAAAACAATTCAATGTTTATATATTGACCATACAATAAGTATAAAATAAGTATAAAAATATCTGTCAACCTTCGAACCAATGACACATTGTTTTTTTTGCTGAGAAGGTTAATACTGTATCGTCCAAAGAACTTCCGAACCGTTGATTCAAGTTTAACTTTTGATATCTTTGATACATCAAAATGTTTATCAATAGCTTGTCTTGTTCATAATTAGACTTTGAATGGTTGTAACAAGGGTAGCTTGATACACAAATATAGAAAAAGAAGATTACGACATTTACGTGTATATATTCAAATATGTAATAAATGTGCCATACACTGCCGTATCTTTCATTTCAATTTCTCTGGAAAATATTGAGTAAAGAATGAAAGGAAGTAAATAAACATACATGTACTAGTATTCATTTGAAAACATAGTTATCGAAATGTCGAGTTGAAGTCCATAACGATTTTTTTTATTCTTATGAAGCAATTTTCGAAAAAGAAAATATTGGATATGAATCTAAAAATAAGTTTGCTAATTAAAAGGCGCAATTTAGGTTTACACGAACATTATGATAGGAACAACTGATACAAGGTTATTACAATTTAATACTAATACATGGCGTTGGGTAACATGTAGAATTTTCGTTTAAGTACAGTAAAGTACTCCGGTTATGAGTGTGTGTCTTTTTTGTATCTGATAAAATTTCTCCATTTATGGTTTGTTTTGTTTGAAATTTGCATATGTATTAAATGAAATTTATTTAAATGAAAATAATAGTTTCAAATGTTTTATCAATGTTTGTCAGTAGTTATCAATGTTGTCCACGAAGTTTACAGACAACCCTCATATCTGAATAACCACAATTCGTGAATTTTTTTCTCGCTTATCAATGACTATCTCACAAAAATAAAGTTTCGCGATAATTTAGTGATCTACGTGGTTAGGCTACTTAAGATATGGTGGACCAGACGGGACACTTTGATGGACAATATGGTGGACCATGGATGACGTTAGAACGTGGTGTGAAACTCGTGTGACAACTATGATCGAACTCTCAGCCGTGTTTTGTTCATTGTACATATGTAGATGAATTTATTATTAATTTTATAAAACTTCTTGGTATACAGGGGGTCTTCCAAAATATTATTTATTTTGGTTGGTAAATTCTAATTGAGAGAATCCATCACAACTTGAGGTCAGTTGTGACATTAAGTCATCGTCGTAAAACAGCCTTTTAATGACATTTATCTTTGAAAAATTGCAGAAAGAAGGATTTAAAAAGGTAAACATTTATTCTAAAAATAATTGGCAAAATGCACAAGAATATTTCGCAAAAACTTGCCCTGTGGCTGTTCCATTTTGTCAAAGATGATGTAGCTATACTTTTAAAAAATGTTTTTCACTAGTTGAATATAATGCATGCTCAATTGCGCAATACCACAATTGTGTATTGCAGTTATTTTTGAGTTCAATATAAAGCATGCTCAATTGCTTCATACAACTATTTGTTTTAGTTCAGTTCACAAAAGTTAATCTTGTGTGTCGCATCGATTCAAAAACATTTTAATTTGTAGTTTTTTCTTAAATCAAATTTGCATTTAAGTGCATATAGTGTTGAAGGAATAAGTTATGCTTTATGTGACTATTGTGTCTGTCCTTGATTTTATTTACCCTGTTTGTAATTTTAAATTTCAAACAAACAACTTTTTAAACTAATTTTTGAAAAGCACATAACCGCAGAGACTACTTTCATTTTAAGTTGAGGCCTTATTTGTCTTATATTCTCGATATAATAATAATAAAAATAATAATAATAAAAATTTCTATAGCGCCCTATATAATAAAAATATCACCCTAAGGCGCTTCACATAGAATGTACATAAAACATTGCATATATTACTCTAAAAATAAAAATTTGACTTATATTGAAAATGTCTTGTTTTGATATAGAATAAGAATAAAAATACAATTACAAGGACTTAAAAATATAATGGCTAAGAAAAACAAATAAAAATTCAATAGATATAGAGACAAACTGTTTATTGAGTCTAAATGCACGTCTTTTTTGACTTTGACTATTCTTTCATTTATTTCATAAATAAAATATCACTTTTAGAATTTCACTGGGATAGTCATGAAGATATATAAATAATTAAATTATCTGACGCGATAAGTTGTTATAAGAGATTTAATCACGTACCAAGACACATTCCAATGAAACTCTAAAAAGTTATATTTTGTATCAGTATATTTATACATTTTATTCGTGTTACAAACAAAAATGTAAATACATGTATTACATTTATTCCTGTAAGTCTCTCGTGGGTTTTTCTCTGACACATTGCTTTAAAATAACATATGAAATACTTCTTAAAAATTTATTTAAAGTAGTGACTTTTTAACCCACGTATAATGTTTTTAGTTATATACATGTACATGTGCACGTAAGCCATCATTAATCCAGATACGTGTCCAGATACTTGAAGAATTGAAATATTGCCATATCGTCACTTTCGTCGCACTCGGCAGTCTAGACACAGTACCATGTTACTTTTTACTAGAAAATAAATTTAACTAGTAACTTTCCATCAGTAATATTACATAATAAAAAAGAATACATAAGGAGAATTTTTGTATACAGCCTTAAAACATGCAAGTTTTAAAGTTCAATTTCAAGACTTGTAGTATTTGGTATATAATGGCTTAAGTGCAGACTGGCAAAATATAGTATTTTGAGTAGATAATATTGACAAGATACTTTTTTTTATATAGGTATGTTTTCCAAAATGTTTAAAGAAAATTTCTCCGCATGAACGATTAATTTGTCATAATTTTGAAAAGCCCTTGTGAATAAATTTCTGCAAAAAAATATATAATTTAATTATGACAAGAAAACTTAAATAAAAATAAAATAAAAGGTCCTTGTGTATCTTTATTGAGCAAAATTTGGCACAGTCTACAAATAATTGTAATAAAATAAAAGAGTATAAAAACAGTACATGTATACACAACAAAAACATAAGCTGCCATTTTTTTCAGTTTGTAACAGATGTATGAATACATCACGTAAATGACGTATCATTGCGTCATCAAGTTGTAACTTTTCTTGGAATCAAATATTATTTTTCTCATCTACATGTATTGTTATGATGGTTCCATATTTACCGAAGAGTGATCTGTTGTTCCGTCGTTTAAAAGGGTGTTTTCAATGTGAGTATTGATATTTTCATTAAAGCTGGTGTCTGGAAAAAGAAAAACAGTATTAGGTAATTGCATGTACCGATATGTCTTTCAAAGAGTCAATTAAAGTAGTAAATTATATACTAATGGCATTATTATATAAATAATAATAATCAAAATCTTACGTTTTTGTTTTGTCCCCAACGTGCATATCCGTGAAATGATATCTATAAATACACAAAATCAAACCTATTAAAACAGCTGCTTTTTTTATGTTTTCATGTATTAATTTCAGTTGTGCAAAATGATTGTATTAAAGAAAAATCGGCACATACCTCTTATAATGGAACATTCTTTTCTTGAACGATAAACAGCACACGCAAGAATAACAGCTATTAGGCTGGCAATACCGATGCACATTGGTATGCTACAATGTTAAATTTAGAAATATTCATAAGAAGTGATGTTCTAAAAAACGGTTTAATGCATGCTTCATTTATAGATTTAGAATGGCAGATTTGAAATTTGAGAAATGTATTTTACTTTCTAGAAAATAAAGGATAATTACAGTATTTTGATATTGAGATCTGATTCTGAATATGGGTCAGTGGACAACCCTTTCTGTCTGGAGGGAGCTGAATCCAGATCAGTTGACACCACTTCCTGTCTAGAGGGAGTAATGGATTCTTTGTTGTCTGATATGGCCGTGGTCATCAGAGTAGATGGACTTGATAAAACCATTGGTATGTTTGTTTTCCGTGATTTGTAGACTAAATCAAAGCACTCAGAATCTGAACATTGAAAAAAAATACCTGGTAGTGAGAATTTTACTGTACGTAACACTTTAAGCATCTGATTTTGATATAATGTGCCGACATGGAATTTTGAAATTTATAAACAAAAACAAGAAACATACACCTAATTAGCGTAAGACTTAAAGGTGATTTTCTTCTTATCATTTCATGATACATTCACACATATTAGTTTTAAGTTCAAATTATTACATACATTTATAACTCTCATTAGAGGAATAAAAGGGTGGACATTTTTTGCACTCTGCATCTGAGTTGCGCTGTATTAGGGACCCACCAAAACTGTACTCTGTGCAGACTTTTCCTGATAAAGGTAAGTTGCAATAGAGTTAAACATGTATTTAAATTAAAACTTAAAATTAATGGAATTCATAATTGAATGATAACTGACAAAAATATAGTGATGTCATTGTACTTCTCTTACCAACGATATTTTTAACTGGTGCACAGACTTCTACTGTTTCATTTTTCCATGCATTTATTACACAGTGATATTCAAACGAAGGACAATATTTTTGGCATCCCTTTCGTGATGCTGCCTCTTTCCATTCATGTTTTGTTGTTGGACAAAATTCTACAAGAACTGCAGTTTCAATTGATTCTTTACATCCTTCAGATGCATCAGGTACCTGTGCATGTGTCTAAAAAAAGACGAATGAATTAATAATCAAATAATCTTGCATCCCCATGTAAATTGATTGTTACTAACTGCAAAGCAAAACTTATAACACCGTATCACCGTAGCACATTTTTACTCAGAGGGAGGTTTTTTACGAGATGCATTTTCTACATAGTTTCACATCATTTCAATCCTTGTAATCTTACCTTTGATGCAAAGTGCAGTACAAAAGCAATCCAAATGGTATAGACTAATACAACCTGTAATTCCATATTTTCGTTGCAAGAAAAAATACCTGTAAAAAAATTATTCTTGCAAGGTAATTAAATGATTTCAAATTGAAAAATAAAAAAATGCATTAATTAGTTATTAATTATCTAACTGTTAATTGCAATCTTACTTTGAAACCACAAGATGTATTCGAGCAAAAAATGTGGTTTTGCGGTTAGGTTGATTTAACTTGACTGTTTGAATTTTAATGCAGGGTAAGGTTTATAAACCATAGATATCCGGTAGCAGGCAAAATGTGTCATCCATAATTTTGTCGGGTATTTCCATGCGTTATCTCACAATTTAAAAATAAATTCAGTTTAGCTTCCATTTAAAATAAAGTCAGACTGGCTAACCGTATACAAAACATAAGGTTGGGACTCTACCTTTAAATAACGTAAACCATGCACTATCTCAGCGTGTTGAGTGAATCATCTAAAGGTGCATGCTTATCTTGATAATCACCTGTGCTGTTTGAATTAGATATTTATCTAAAAAAAAATGTTGGTGTTTATAGCTTGTTGCAAGTTTACTGGCTTTTTTCTTTATTACTTTTTTTTCATATTTAGCGCATTTTCTTATATAATTGCAAGGAAAAAAGAAAATTTTTATTATCTTTTTTAAATGCAGGTAAAATGCATCACACTGCTCTGTATGATGCAAAAGAAAGGAAAATGGGGAAAAAGATTCAACGTAAATTTACTCTGTCTCAAGCATTATTTTTTAATACACTGCATAGATTTAGTCTCTCCTGAAACTGAAACTATAATCAGTTTACTTTATCAACAAACACAAAATGTTTTTTTTATTATTATTATTTAAAATGTTATATATTCTTTAAAAAAAGTGCTATATTCAAATCTGATTAATATTTAGAAATTGGCTGAAAGACAAGAATTTTGCTTAATTCCAATTTGTATGTCCTTGCTAAAGAGAAAAGGAATACATTGATTTTGGATATTGTTTTAATCAGTATTAATTAATATCTGTTTACCAATTTGCATATTTTTCTTTGTTGTGTCTTCATTCCTACTAAAAATTAGTCATTTAACCTTGTATAAGATCCAAACTTGTCATGGGGTTTAAAAAGACTGCACTTCACGCGTCAGAAATCCGGTCATTTCGAACGTTACGGACAGAGCCATTGATAATTTTGTTTTGTGTTGCGTTTTAATAATTATACCGTAGTAGAGGTATACATGAGTTGGGTGCGGTTCATAACAGATAATTTTATTTATGTTTTTAAGATATTTCTTCGCTTTTGATTGCTGATATATGTCTTGATTTTCTTTACTGCCGTAATTAAAATGCATGTATAATATAATAAAATTAATAATAATTTAAGATTCTTTACTAATTAAAATACATTTGTTATCTGACTTCCAAAAATACCCTCCTATGAAACACTATATTTTGGCTTTATTTTTTTGCCAGGGAAATGCGTGACTCTTTCACGATTGAATCTTTAATGAATTGATATCAATTTATGTAACCACATTTCATCACATAGTTTCATAGTGAGAAGCTGGAAAACATGGGCTTTTTGAAACACTGCATTAAAAATGAATGGTTAAGAATCAGTATACTACAGTGACATTACACTCTTTGTTTAAACAGACGTAAAACTTATTAAGAACCGCTGTGGCAACGCACTTTGAAAAAATTACGCACTTTGAAAATTTTTTTCAAAGTGCGTTAATTTTTGGGACCAGGTTAATACACTTTGAAAAAATATTTTTTTTTTCAAAGTGCGTTAATATGGACCATATTAACGCATTTTGAAAAAAAAAATTCTGCATGGCTTAGTCAATATTCCTACAAATCTTAAGTATGATAACTTATCAATTGAACCTGATATGATACTTTTTGTCCCCCGCGTGAAAAGTGGGAGTTATTAATTTGGGTTTACCTGTCCGTCCGTCCGCCTACCTGTCCGTCCATCCGTCTTTCTGTAACTCTTTCGTTTCCACACGATGTCTCGACAACGCTTTTGCAATGAAATTTAACATAAAAGAATACCTGTGGCCTTAGAAAGACCCCTTTTGAATTTGGGGTCAAAAGGTCAACATTCAAAGTCGTAAAGAACTACGAGCGATAGTATTATTCATCCGCCTATCTATAAGTCTATTCTCAAAAGTTAACATCTTGGAATGATTCTCAAAATATTTATATATATTTATATGAATTTTCATAAAACCTTACTTATTTGGGATACCAAAGAGAGATAACTCTATAATTTTGGCAAAACTTGTGTTTTCCACTATAGAAATCAGCAGAAAAAATCATGTAAGTTAAATACCTGGAGGTTAACAGAGAGATTATCAGATATGGTATCAAATTAACATCGAAAAGCAGACAGGTATACTTAATATAATTAAATGTAATTAATGTAATTAATATTCTGATTTTCCTGAAAATGAACATATACAGACTTTGAGATTTAAAAGAACCAAATTTCGATTTACTACAGGCTTCCTTGTACAGTGCTTATACTGTATTTAGAATGCTCTTTTATCATATCATTGACACTTAAGTTTACGAGTTATAGAAATAGACACATCTGGGTGGGAATGATAAAGAGTTGAGCTGATAGACCTTTATTCAGCCAGTCTTTTCTTCCTTGTCCGTTTCTAGGTTTTCTTCAATCCATCAGGTTTTAGAAAGAAACACATCAAAGTAAGGGCACCGCAAAGTGAAGCATTCCTTCCCAAAACCATGTTCAGTAAATCAAGGAAGCATATGACATCGATTGCGATACAAATTACATCAATTCCACACAGAAAAAAATAACATACACATAAAGTAATAACACACATAATCGCATCACTATATCGCATCATACGTTGCGAGGGGGGTAATACTGTTGTCTATTTCTAAAATATAAGTCTAATTCCTTTTGTTCATGAAAAGTTTTTCAAAGTGCGTTAAATGTTGACATGGTGTAAAATAATGATGTACAGTCTTAATGCACTTTGAAAAAAATTTTCAAAGTGCGTTGATTTGGTCCAAAATTTAACGCAATTTGAAAATTTTTTTCAAAGTGCGTTAACCTGGTCCCAAAAATTAACGCACTTTGAAAAATTTTTTCAAAGTGCGTAATTTTTCAAAGTGCCTTGTAACAAACCGAAAAGAAATATTCAATGAAATATTTCAAATTTTCAGCAAAGATTGTGTGTTTTATAAACAAGCGAAAGTCTGTTTCAATGGCAAATAAACAATAGACTGTGTACTGTTTGAAAAAAATCAACAAATTATCACTGAAGATGTTTGAATGACTTTAAGAGAAATTGCAAATTGATAGGCATCAATATCGTGATAATTCACAGTTTCACACTTTTTTAAAGAAACTTTTGACAGTTATAAAGTTTAGTTTTCAATGTTTACCCTATGTTTTGAAAAAAATGAATGAAGACGACAGAGTGTAAGAATATCAAAACAATTATTCTTAAAAAATCGGAAATTGTATTTATCCATGTTTGTCTGAAATTCAAACAAACAATGAAATTGAACCCATGGCTTTAAACACTTAAAAATCATATATAAGATACATTTGAAAAAAAAACAAAAAAACAAGGATTTAAGAAGAGCAAATCATTGTAAAAGAACAAAGACAGATTTAAATGCCATTTTCTAATTTTTCTTGTTGTTCAAATACTTATTTGGGGAGGCCATTCAATTTCTAAAGAATCTTGAAAACATTTTTATCCAAAAAAATTAATTGGTTTATGAGAGGAAGGAAACCGAAACAGGAATTAAATCTCTTTATGAGAGCGTCCATACTTACACGTCCTGAAGAGTAACCGAGTTTTAGTGGTAAACAGAAAGTTATGGTTTTGGCAAATCAGCAAAATTCTCTATATCTTCAATGAGAGAATGACCTAGTTGATTTAAACTATCGTGCCTAGCTAGTAAAGCGTTAATTCTTCGTGATTAGTAATCACTCTATGTACTAGCTAAGTTAGTGAAAAGTTGGGTAGTGGTCGAACAGATACTTAAATACCTAGTGAAAGTTACTTATGAATTCTTTATAGATTTTCTAATATTAGAAGTAAATATACCCAATACCTAGTAAAACTACTTTAAAGGTAGTGATTGTATGGAAAGTAAATTTACTTGTCTTCCCAGTGACTTTCACTAGTTATTCTTTTTCAGTACTAGTGTTTCACTCTTTGACTTGTTTCATTGTCCGAACCTGAAAAAAAAAATCAAAGAACCTTGAAGCACATTTAGAGGCATTTAATGAAAATTGTTGCATGAAAAGATTTAATTTTCAAGCTTCATTTAAAGATTTTTTGAATTAAATCATGAATTAAAGCATTGTCCTTTCTGACTGAGGGTCGGAGTCCCTTAAAAGCGTTTTTGTTTTTTTCCGAGCACCGAGGACATAAATCTTTAACATCCCACGTATGATAGTAAAAGATTAAACATCAAGGAAACAACTATTCCCTTTGAATGATTAAATTTAATTCTTCTCCGTTTAGGACAAAATTGGGATCCATAAATCCATGGTATAAGCACAGGGTGTAATTATACCATTCAGTCGACAGAATGGTAACTGAATGCCCACTCAAAGATCACTGGAAAGTCTTTGAAAAGATTCTTTCCTGACTTTTCCATGATATTTCAATTAATTAAATTCTGTCATAAAATCATTGGATCTCTATTTGTTTTTACAATTTATTTCATTTTCGTACTCGATCTATTTTCATGCAACAATTTAGAAAATCTTTTGGATACGTACAATGACATGTATCTTGCTTATACATGTAACTACAATTATTGACAAAAAGCATATTATAATTTACAATCACATTTTTACATCACATTGTAGTTTAAGTTTCCTGTGTATTTTTTTTAATAAAATGTACAATGAAATAAAAGACGAACATATTAAGGGTCCTCCACACATGTACACCCACAGCTTATGTTCTCATATTATTGAGCATTACTTTTAACAAGCATATCAACCTTAAAAAACAGTCCAGGGATAAAAATGTAATTTATACTGATTTTTTAGTATAATTATTTCACTAGTTTCAAGATATTTTTTTCCAAGGCGTATTCAGACCTAGCACAAAAAATTTTGTCTTACCCTTTCGTATATTCTTAAGCTCACAGAATAACCATAAAAACTTAATTTTATCGATCAACACATTTTTTACAGAAATTTATTTTATTTATAAAAAGTACATAAAACTCATTTTCTCTGAAATACATCACGAGAAAAATCAACAAGGACTTCTTTTGTAGAGAAGAAACAAAAATGAATTAGATCACTTCAAAAAATTGAATTAAAATTAAATGCACTGATGTAGAAAAAACATTTTCAAAATCTCTGGTATCAAAGTTCCTTTTCGGAGTTATCTTTCC